AAAGATTTATAGCCCATAGATGAATGATTAATTTTATAAAACACACTGTATGGGAATGATAGTATGAAACATAAGGAGAATGAACAATAGTGTGAAATACAGTGTATATGAATTTTGTATGCAAACCAATATGAAAATATTTATAGCCGTAGAAATCCCATGGAGGGTCGCTGAGTCAACCGACTTGGCAGTAGTGGGTTTATTCATTTGTTCAGGAATTAGAAACTCACTGTAATTTCTCAACTCCTAGCAGCCCCTCCATTGGGTTTCCAATGCTTACATTGCAAAGGGTGAACTATTTTTTATTTTTTTAAATAGACTCTTTGGAATAAACTCCTTGGACAATCAATCATGCTGTTGAAAATAGCAACAAGGGGAGTTCTGGTGGCCTAGTGGCAAGAAGCTGCACTGCCATCCCAGAGGTGCACGGCTCGAATCCACCAGATGCTCTGCCGGGGAAGGAGGGACAATCTCCTCCTGTACCAGGCAGATCTGATTTGACGGTACACACAAATAATAAAAAAATTAAAAAAGAAAATAGGAGCAACAATGAATGAATGGAAATACAAATTCTCTATAAACTTCTATTAAGTTATCAATTAAAAAAATAGGAATGGTTTATTTTTCCTTTCTTGTCGTGTGCCTTTTCTTGCCATAGGGAACTTCCCATATTGTTTGGAGTGGTGGTGGTGAGAGCCCACATCCTTGCCTTGGTCCTCATTTTAGAGGAAAAGCATTCCGTCTTTACTGTTAAGTACGGTGCTGGCTGTAAACTTGCTGCCGGTGCCCTTTTATCAGGTTGTGGACGTTCCTTTTATTCCTGTTTTGCTGGGAGTTTTTATCATGGATGGGTGTTGAATTTTGTCCCGTGCGTTTTCTGCATCAGTTCACAGGATGATGCAGTCGGTCTTCTCTGCCCTGTTACATCATCCATGGAGTGAGTTAATCTCAAGGAGCATCCCCCAAATCACGTTCCTTGGGCCTGTTATCAGGAAGGGCCAGCCCCGGGCTACAGACATCCTGCCTAGTAAAGCAGAGGGTTATTGAAAGGATGACGATGCAGGGACCCCAGCAGTGAATCCAAATACAGCGAAGGCTGAGAGGCGGCGCAGGATCCAGCAGCTCCTTGTTCTGTTAACAGACTTGCTATGGGTAGGAGCTGACACGAGGCCACTGAACAGCAACAGCATATTGGTTGATTAAACTAGACTTGCACCTCCGGAATAAATTATACTTTAAGAAAAAAAACAACAACTTATGTTGCTGAGCCCTGTTTGCTAACAGTTAAGGTTTTGTGTAATAAGTTCATGAGGAGTATGGTTGTTGTTATGTACTAGTGAGTCAGAACTGACTCATAGCTGACCCTCCAGCAGGTTTTCAGAGGCAGTAAATTACAGGGAAGGAGATTACCCATTTTTCTTCTCTTGGAGCAGTTGATGGATTTGAACCACCTGCCTTTGGGTTGGTAGTGCAACTCTTTACCATGGGACCACCAGAGGCTGCCTTGCAGGGGGTGTGTTTGTCTCCAGTTTGCATTCTTTTTTTTTTGGTATCATGTTATGTTTGTCTGATTTTGGTATCAGAATAATACTACCTCTCCTTCTTCAATTATCTGTAAGAGATTGTGTAGAATTGGTGGTAATTCTTCTTTTATGATGTGTTAATTCTCTGTTGCTCCAAATGTTAAGTGGTTTGGTTTCTTTTTTTTTTTTTTAATTTATTTTATTTTACTATTTTCTGTGTGTGTACTGTCAAATCGGATCTGACCAGTACAGGAGGAGATTGCCCCTCCTTCTCCAGCAGAACATCTGGTGGATTCGAACCACATATTCTCTGGGAATGCAGTGCAGCTTCTTGCCACTAGGCCACCAGAGCTCCCCAAATGTTAAGTGTTTTGTAGAGCTTTCCAGAGAAACTGCCTGGGCCAGACTTCTGTTTTAGATGTTTTTATATTATGACATTTAGTTCATAATTAAGAAAATTTTGTTACAAGATTATTTTAGTTGTTTCTTTCAAACTGAATGGACTGTAACCCAACAGTGGATACCACAACATTGTCTTTGGTTAACCGTCATAAATATTTTTAAAATGGGTTTGGATTTCACTGGTTTGGAGTACTAATAACTTGATAAAATGGAAAACTGTAAGTTTTACTTCTTTTAAGTGCTAATCTTTGATTGCCAAAGGGTGCGTTGGATGAGGTAGAAAGCCTGGAAGGGCCTCGAGGTCCGTTGGAGAGTGGCAGAACTGGTTCTCGTCATCCCTGCCACCCAGGAACATTGTCACTGCCCTTTTTATTTAGCACAGGACGTGGCACACAGTAGGTACTTCATCAAGACAGTGCATTATAGATGTGTTCATTCAGGAAGGAGCTGGTTTTGAGTTTGGCACTTGGAGAAAATGCATACGACCTTCCCCTCAGGGAGCCCTGGTGATGTAGCTGCGCTCTTAACCAAAGATGAGACCTCTGTGGTGCTTTGACTTCACCAGGGGCTTAACGGAATTTATAGCTTACTCCCCACAGAAAACCCACTAAGTTCCCAGTACGAGCCAACTGCCAGAAGCCTGGTGGGTTTACAGTTAGTTGCCTCTCAGCCAGTGGTGAGACTTCCAGCATCAGAGAGGGAATCTGGTGGTAGGCATATGGGGGTCAATAGTACTACTTTCTGTATTTTTGTGGCTTTCTTAAATACATGATTTAAAAACATTTTTTAAAAAGATTTACAAAGGATGAGGCTGAAACCCAGCCAGTGCGTGGCCAGCTGAGCGGGTGCAGGGCTCTGTCGACCCACAGAGGTCCCCTTTTCTAATTTGCCAAGACATCCAGTAGCCCTAGTTTGTTTCCTTTTGTTTTTTTCAATAGTGATCACATATCACGGCCAAATATTTAATAGCTTTCTGTGGTAAAATTTGCCGAACGGCTTCCTTTAGCCATCTGTAGCGACTCAGTCATCAGTTTGAAGACTGGCTCCACATCAGGCATTTGCAGAAATTCATGAGGACATAGTCTGCCAGCTCTGTCTGCCTTCCGCTCATCTTTCCCCAGTGTTTGGTTGTTGTTCGATGTCATTGAGTCAGCTCTGATTTGGCAGTGACTCTGTACAACAGAAAGAACAAAACCTGGCTGTGTTCGGAATCATCTTCAGTCTCTGCTGTGTTGGACCAGCATTCAAGTGGATGCTCAAAATCCCTCCTCTACCTCTGAAAATGAAAACCTCTCAGAGACCTCCCTAGAGTACTAAAGAGCAGCAACGATGTCAGTCTAGAGACTAAGGTGCGCCTGATCTAGGTCATGGTCTTCACAGTTACTGAGCATTAGAGAACTGGACTATAACTAAGGATGTTAGAAGAAGGAACTATGCATTTGAGTTGTGGTGCTGGAGAAGAGTGTTGAACATACCATGGACTCTCAGGAGACAGACAGATCTGTTCTGGAGAGGGTGAGACCAGGCTACTCCCTGGAGGCAAGGATTTTGAGGCTCCTTCTCACATACTTTGGGCACCTGGCCAGGAGGGACTGGTCCTTGGAGAGGGATGTCATGCTTGGAAGGGTGGAGGGACCGTGCAGGAGAGGAAGACCCAGGATGAGATGGATTGACTCAGTGATTGGAGAAATGGGATTAGGTCTGTCGGAGATGATGAAATTGGCCCTGGAGAGGGCAGGCTTCAGAGCTAACGTATATTGGGTCACTATGAGTCGCAGGGAAGGGGAAGAGGGGGGAGAGACGGTGGGCATGTTCTCCTAGGTTTGCTGTGCCCAGGGTTGCTATGGCCCGATTGCCAGAAAGAGCATGGTGCTGTCTGTGCGGGTGTTGTGGCAGTTTTCAGATGTGAAGGACTACTCTGCCTGCAGGAGCCAGGCAAGCCAGGCTTGGCCTAGGGTTTAAGGCAGCAGAGGGCTTCAAGCCCTGAAGGGGAAGGGGAGAGACAGCTGCCGTGTTCTCTCATGATTGCTCCGCCCAAGGTTGCTGAGGCCCTCGGGCCAGTCTTTCATTGTTTTTGTTCAGACATTCCTCTAGGTCGTGTTCTCTCATGATTGCTCCGCCCAAGGTTGCTGAGGCCCTCGGGCCAGTCTTTCATTGTTTTTGTTCAGACATTCCTCTAGGTCCTATAGCCCTGGTGTACAAGTTGCTGTACCACAGTCACTTGTGGTTGCTGTGAGGCTGAACACTGTGACACTGATGTGTCAAATGCGTTAATGGTTGGCTACCCAATGTGGACAGAGAGTGGGGTGGAGCTCCCCGATTAAAACAAGCTTGGAAGTAGGAGTGGCATCCACTTCCGTAATAGCTTGCCTCCGGAAACCCTATGAACCTGGAGAGAGGATGAAAGACACCCAAGTGTCGAGGACTCTCCTTCATAGGTTCGCTATGAGTCACAGGCACCTCAATGGCACATAACAGCAAGAACTGCCTTGCTGTCCCTGGGTGACCTGGGACACACAGGTACCTGGTTCAGGCCCTGCTCCTTCAGCATCAGGCACTTCCTGTGTTCTAGGACCCTTTTACTGTCTGTGTCCCTTTGACTTACTATTGCTTTTGCTCCTGAGCCCTCCCGGTTCTCATTCCCTTTCTCCCCTCTTCTTTTTCTCCTTCACCTTTACTGGCTCAGTTCTAGAGAGGAAGGAGGTCCTGGAGTGAAGAAGAGACGATGAGCTAAGATACTGAAGAGAAGAACGTAAGAGTGACGTAGCAGCAGAGGCGCTCTGGTGGTCTAGTGGTTAGAGAGTTGTGCTGCCAACCCAAAAATGAACTGTTCAAATCTACCAGCTGCTCTAAGGGTGAAAGATAGACTATCTCCTCCTATATGAGGAGAAGAAAATGGGAAACCGCAGAGGACAGGGAAAAAATAATACAAGCAGTACGTGCGGTTGTAGCGGGGTGGCAGTCGGTCAACCCAGAGTGGACTTTTTCTGGGGTGTCTCTGGCGCCCTCCCCGGGCTCTCAGTAATACGGTGTCTTTCTTGTCCCCAGGTGCCCTCATGACTTCTCTCGTGGACCATGTCCATGATCCTCTTCGCATGCGTGGTACGCGTGAGGGACGGACTGCCCCTGTCGGCCTCCACTGACTTTCACCACACGCAGGATTTCCTGGAATGCAAGAGGCGGCTCAAGACGTTAGCCTTGCGACTGGCCCAGTACCCAGACCGGGGCTCTGCAGAGGGACGGGACCTCAGGATGCAGTAAGCACTCACCCGTACTTCTCCCTAACTGCCACACACTCAGTTACTTTCAGCCTCAGGTGGAGGTAGCCTCACGCTTACCACACTGTGTGTTAAAGGTCAGTCTGGCCACAGACAAAGGCCTGAGGCCACGGTGTTTACAGCTGCAGAGTCACAGGGGAGGTGGGCTTCCTGCTTTGCTCCTCTGGCCCATGCCCTGAAACCTTGGGAGACCCGAAATCCGAATTTTCACGTCTCTGGTTGGGAGCTCTGGTGTAGTCTGCAGGGAGTGGCAGCTCTCCGGTGGTTCGAATCTGTCAGTGTCTCTGAGGGAGAATGAGGCACAATTTCTTCCCATGCAGCTTCTGGCCTCAGAGACCTGATAGTCAGCTATGAGTCAGTTCTTACTAGACAGCAGTGAGAGATAAGAGAGAGATCAGCACTTAGCTGATAAACAAAAGGTCAGTGGTTCAAACCTCCCAGCTACTCTTTGGGAGAAAGATGTGACCCTTGATTTCTGTAAAGTTTAAAGCCCTGGAAACTTTATGAAGCACTGCTGTTCCATCTTAACAGGGAACCAGCCGATCAGCATTGAGTTTGGATTTTGGTTTAATCAGGTGTCAAGATCTGCTTTATCATTTGCTCTTCTGTGATGAGTTCAGGTAACAGGCTCTGTGATACCAAAATGACTTGTAGATTTACGAAGCACTGAGTTTCTCTCCTGTTCTCCTTGTACAGCAGATATTTAGTTGGTTTGATAAAGTGGGGTCATTTTAAGGGAGTTGAGCCTTGGAATCACAAAGCCAAAAGGAAAAGTCCAGACCGGACGCCCTGGTCTGCAGCATTGTCTGAGGTGAGAGCAGGGACATAGCCTTTGACAAAGTTGGGTGCTGGTGACAGGCCCGGGCAGCTGTCACTCCGGGTGAGCGCTGGGTGCTCCAGAGAGAAGGCTGAGCTGCCTCTGTGCATGTTCACAGCTCAGAGGACTGTGATTGTCTGATGCCACTGTCCCTGGCCGTCCCTTCCACTTTAGGCCACGGAGAACTGACGTTCTGTGGGAACTTTGTGCTGCACCTCAAATAGGAAACCTCTTGTCAAGGGTCATTTTCTACAGAAAATATGTTCTACTTGTTTGTATTTTTTGTTAAATTTTTATACAGGATAACTGAGGCTTGCTTTCTTTTTAAACAGATGAGCAGTAGCACAGCTTATTTTATAGCTAAGGACTTGCATTTTTTTAGGAATATCTCTATCCTCTGTGACTCGTAGCGACCCTATGTACAACGGCCCTAAACTTTGCTCTGTTCTTTGCCAGTCTCACTGTCTCTGACACTCCCATCCCGATTACCCCAGTCACTGAATCAATCCACCTCATAGAGGGTCTTCCCCTCCTGCATTGTCCCTCCACCCTCCCAAGCGTGACGTCCCTCTCTGTCCTAGAGGGTCATAGATCCTAGTCCCTTTTGAAGCACTTTTTCTTTTTTAATAAGAAGAAATTTATCTTTTAATTTTTTTAAATCAGAAAATTTTTTATACAGACTTTGTGTTTATAATAAGATAGTAGACTGATTGAACTCTAAAATCTTCCTTCTAGAAGCACCCAGAAATGTGGATAGATACACACACACACACACACACACACACACACACGGCATGTATGTGTGTATAGCTGAGCTGGCAAGAAGGAAACCCCCAGGTGCCAGAAATGAAGGAGGAGCAGGGTACGAGGAGAGGAAGTGTGTAACACTGATGCCGAGGCTGACATCACAGCTCCCTTGGAGCTTTAGTTCCAACACCTACAAGAAGTGAGGCCCTGGGGCCTGCGGAGGGTGGAGTGTTGGGGCTCAGAGCCTCATAAAAGGGGCGGGTTCTTGTCTGTGCAGGACTAGTGAAATGACGATAGGTGGGGAGCCGTCTCCTTACTTACACAAGGGTGACTCATCTCTGCTTGACTTTGTGTGGGAAGGAAAAGCAAAATCTCGCCGAAGAGATTGAAACCCTGATCCTGTTCGTCACGCACGGTTGGTATTTGCGTTTCTACTCCTTGGGGCCCGGGCATTCCCAAGCCACGGTTCAGCGTCGGGACCAGCCCCAGTGTAAGGACACTCTTCAGGGTTGTTGTTTGCCTTCAAGTCGAGCACGACTCATAGCAACCCTATGAAGAAAAGGCCTGAAGCCCTTCTACAACTATCGACACTTATCAAAGTTCATAGAGTTTCCGGAGGCATGTTGTTTAAGAAGTGGATGCCACTCCTGCTTCCAAACCTGTCATAGTATGTTATTGTTGTTGTGTGCCATTGAGTCGCCTGCAATGTATAGCGACCTTATGTATAGCAGCTCAGAACCTTTCCTTGTCCTGAGCCAGTCTCACTAATTCCGACACACTAACCCCCATCACCCCAGTTACTGTATCAACCCATCTCATCTGGGGTCTCCCTCTCCTGCGCTGTCCGTCCACCCTTCCGAGCATGATGTCCTTCTCCAAGGACCGATTTTTCCTGGCCATGTGCCCAAACTGACAAAAACAAATGTTGAATGACTGTGGAAGTCATGTGCCCCGGCGAAGGCCCGGAGGGATCTCTGATCCTCTCCCAGAGGGTCCCAGGTTTGGAAACTGTTAGAGCAGCTCTCTTCTGCAGCACATTGGGGACCTGAGGCAGAAGGGGCTACAGTGCAGCTGACTGTCGAGTTTTGGGTATCAGTAATGTAAATGTCACCTTTTTGTCTCAGTTTTTTTTCTGCAGGGGATGTGGCCTGCATGGCTATCTGCTCCCGCCAGTGTCCAGCAGCCATGGCCTTCTGCTTCCTGGAGACGCTATGGTGGGAATTCACCGCTTCCTATGACACCACCCGCATTGGCTTAGCCTCCAGGCCATACACCTTTCTCGAATTCGGTTTGTAATTCCCTTTTGACTTTATCCTCTCCTCGGTATTGATCATGTAGGTCTTAAGGCTAAGATTTGGTTTCAAGTGATCACAGAGATCTGGAAAGCCTCAGGGTCTAACGTGCTGACTTTTCCTGTCTGCAGAGAAGTGTGAGGACAGGTGCAGAGGGATGGGGACATGTCTCTAGACCATTCACACAGCTCTCTGGAGCAGAGATCAGCACTTCAGGGCCCATGGGCCAGCCCAGCCACCTGTCTGTGAAAATAAAGTGGAACACAGGGCACACCCCCTTTTGGTTGTTCAATAAAGCACCTTTTCTCTGCAGTGACGGAGCTGAGTCATGTGGCAGCGACTGTATTTCATGAGCCTTGAGTAGTTACTATTTGATGCTTTAAAAAAAAAAGGTTCACTGACTCTTACGTGGGAGCCGTACATTGTGTGCTGGGCTGCTAACTGAAAGGTCACCAGTTCAAATCCACTAGCAGCTCTGCAGGAGAAAGATGGGCCGTCTTGTAAAGATTTTCAGCCTCAGAAACCCAGGGGAGGGTTTCCAAGTTGGAAAAGGGCTGGGTTTGGACTCCTGTGCTGGAGCACTGCTATTCAGAGTGGGCTGTTAGCTGGCCCTCCCCTTCCAAGTTAAGTACTGAAAGTGAGAGAAAGTGTTAGAACTTCTTAAGGTGATTTGTTATTATTGTTGCATTTCTAGTTGTGTTTTACACAAGTGTCCATCTGGAATGGTTTGGAAATGTGGGAAACCTGGGCCTTTTCTCAGAGATCTGAGAAGCATTGCTTCAGAAGAGGCTGCTGGTTTCCCCTCAGTGCTGCCTGGGAGTCCTGGAGAGGCCAGGGTCTTGGACACACTTCTTCCCGTGGCCCCTGCTGCCCTGAGGCTCCTGCTGCCCCACGGCCCCTGCTGCCTTGCAGCCTCTGCTACCTCTCTCAACTTTGCCATCACCTCAATGCTGGGCTAATGGGGTGGAGATCGGAACTGGAAGGCATTTCCAGCTTCTGACTAAACAGCTGCTGTTCTGCGTTGCCCCGGGGTGAAGGGTGTGTGTGCTTTCTGGTAATTATTTCCACAACCTCACATTTCCTTGTGGGGTCTACAGGCTGGCCCGTCAGGCGTGGGGCCAGCACCCTCTGGTGGTGTCACTGGAAGATGCCATGGAATTCCCTGGTACCTAAGGCCTAGCCTCGGAGACCTACAACAGTCTCCTCATGGGGCCTTGCTTGAACCTCTGCTCTCAGCACACTTCTCCTTGTGAAGAGGCCATGATGCCCAGAGTCCACAGAGTCCTCAGTGCTGCCCATTGTTCCCAGAGCTGCCCAGAGTACAGAGTCCCTAGAGCCGCCCACAGTCCCCAGTGCTTCCCACAGTCCCCAGAGCTGCAGCATCCCTGGGCTGTGTGTTAACTTGGCGCTCACAGGCCTCTTGCTTCTCTCTCCCCATCTGGGCACGCGCCTTTCTTCCTAAGCGGGCGCTCGCTCTGACAGACCTTTCCTGGCATCACGCTTCCTGGCGCTGAGTGGGAGCAGACTATGAGCCAGAGCACATTGATATTAGCATTAGTCATGATTTTGCTTTCCCAGCCAATTTGTAAGAAACTTCCAACATTGTGAAGACTTGGTAATGCATTAATATTAAAATTTGAAAAGGAATTAAAACCTTTCAAATATGTAATCTCAATCTTCTTAATGTATTCACAATCATTTGTCTCCCCCCCCCCCCCATATACCCTTTATTTTGAGATAATCCAGTCTAAAAGAATGATTACCCATTTTCATACTTGAGAACATTCTGGGAAATGCTGTCAGAAGTGATTGAACTAAAACTTAGCCTCTACCACACTCGAGTCAGAACCAACCCATAGTTGATCCTCAAGTGGGCTTTTCAGAGGCAGTTAATCACATGGGAGGAGACTGCCCATCTTTCTCCTGCAGAGCAGCTGGTGGATTTGAACCTTGTGCCTTCGGATTGCAGTGCATTTTATTGAGGGGGAGCTTGGTGCCATTATTTGCCGGGAGTTGTGCTTCTAGCCCAAAGGCCACTGTGAGTGGTTCAGATCCACCCTGTGCTCTGAGGGAGGAGGTTGTGTAGTCTCAATGCAGTTTAGAGCCTCCGCAAACCTGCTGGAGTGTCAGTGATGAGCCGGCTCTGACTTGACAGTGAAGAGTCTGAGTCTCTGTGTTGATCACAACAAAACATTTACCAAGTCAGTAATTTCTCCTTGTATAATTCTGTGGCATCGGTTACATTCTTCACATTGTATAACCATTATCACAATCTTTTTCTAAATTATCTCAGTATCATTCATTTAAACTCGCTACCTTCTGTGTACATATCACTTGCTTTGCATCAGAAAGCTGGACAGTGACTAGGGAGGATAGAAGGAAAATTGACGCCTTGGAGCTGTGGTGCTGGAGAAGAGTGTTGAATATACCATGGACTGCTAGGAAAACAAACAGATTCATCCTGGAGAGGGTTAAACCAGGCTGCTCCTTGGAGGCAAGGATTCTGACGTTCTGTCTGACATACTTTGGACATATTACAAGGAGGGACTAATCCTTGGAGAGGGACGTCATGCTTGGGAGGGTGGAGGGGCGGCGCTGGAGAGGAAGACCCTCGATTAGGTGGCTTGATTCAGTGACTGGGGTACTCGGGGTAGGTGGGTCAGAGATGGTGAAATTGGCGCAGGACAGAGCAGGGTTTAGGGCTGTTGTACATAAGATCACCATGAGTCACAAGCAACTCGATGGCACATAACACCACCACCAACAACAACAACCTTTTTTAAAAATTTTTTAAATTTATTTTATTATTTTGTGTCTGTGTACCGTCAAATCGTATCTGACTGGTACAGGAGGAGATTGCCCCTCCTTTTCCAGCAGAGCATCTGATGGTTTTGAACTACGTATCTCTGGGATTGCAGTGCAGCTTCTTGCCACTAGGCCACTAGAGCTTCCTAATAGCTATCATTGTGTGCCGTTGAGTTGGAGCTGACTCATAGCTGACCCGCAGCTTTCCAGAGGCTGTGACTTGGGCAGGAGCAGATTGCCCCATCTTTATCTCTTGAGTAGCTGGCCGATTGAAATCCTGCCTTTGGATTGGGAGTGCCACCTCTCCTCCCTCCACTATTCATCTTGGATTTCTGTATAGCGGCTTATTTCATATGCGTGTGATCATACATACGGCATTTGTTCTTTGACCATTACTGGTTTATTTCATGCAGCCGTGCTGTGACATGCCCTGGGACTTCTCTTTACGGCTGAGTGATATCCCTTTGTATACCTACTGCCTCTACGCTAGGTTTCTATCCTGTGTTGTAGCCTTTTCAATAGACACTGCATCACATTCTAATCATTCTTCTTAGAGAGGTTGATCAGACTAGAGTTGTTCGTTAGTAATCATTTGACATATATGTAGAACTTGGCACTCTACAGAGATGTTAGCTTTCTCAGAAATGTGAAGTTCATTTTGCACATGTTGACTTACATGTTCTGAAGAAAATATTCAACTTTGCTTGCTCTCTCTCTTTTCACAGACAGCGTCATTCAGAAGGTGAAGTGGCATTTTAACTGTGTGAAGGCCTCGCAGACGGACAGTAGTCTAGAAAAAATTCAAGGGGAGCTGGAGTTCCAGCCTCCAGTGGTTCTCACGCTCGAGGACACTGAGGTGGCCAACGGCGTGATGAATGGGCACGCACAGGTCCATCTGGAACCCGGTAAGTGTCCTGCTGCCCTCCAGTGTTGATGAAGATGTGGTGGGTTCAGAGACTGAGTGGGCTTCCCCTGACATATGTGTCACCTTTGCTAAGCGTGATTCTCAGGATGATGTTATTCTGTGTTGTAAATCCTTACGTGCGTGCTGCTAATGAGGAAGGATCAGAGGCAGTTATGATGTGACTGAGAGGTCCTCAGCCAGTCATTGGTCAGGGGACTAGAGTGACATGCAACTCCCCTAAAGGACCTGATCTCATGCAGAGGGGTTTTCCTGGTCTGTGGCCTGCGTCACCTTCTGCCCTGTGAGATATAAAAGAGAGAATTGAAGGGAGCTCTGGTGGCCTAGTGGCAAGAAGCTGCACTGTAATCCCAGAGGTATGTGGTTCAAATCCATCAGATGCTTTGTTGGAGAAGGAGGGACAATCTCCTCCTGTACCAGTCAGATCCGATTTGACAGTATACATGCACACACAAAATAATAAAATTTTTAAAAAGTTTAAAAAAAAAAAAGAGAGGATCAAGCAGGAGGGGACACCCTAATATCACCAAGAAGCAGTTGCCAGGAGTGGAGTTCATCCTTTGCTCCTGCTTTTCTGTTCTGGGAAGCTCATTACCACAGATGAAAGCCGAGACATTTGTAGTAGATCTCCATGCCCTGTTAGGCTTACAGATGCTGAGAGAGAAAAGGACCTCCAGGACCAACCACGGGGAAGCCCTTCCCTAAAGCTGTCACACTCAGTGGGGAATTCTAGCCGTGTAAATTGTGAGAGAATCAATTTCTGTTTGTTAAAGCGGTCTGCCTGTGTTATCTGTTACAGCAGCACTAGATAATTAAGAAGGATGGTGTTAGGCATTTCACATGAACAGTAATTTTTTTCTTTTTCAGTATTCCTTATTACCCAATTTTCTTTTTTTTTAGTTCACTGTTGCACAGCCACCAATTATTGTGAATACATCTTGACTGCATGTTTAATCACTTTCAGACTTTAGCAGTTGATAGAAATCCCCATTTCTTTTTTTTAATTTTTATTGTATTATTTTTGTGTGAGTGTACCATCAAATCAGATCTGACTGGTACAGGAGGAGATTGTCCCTCCTTCCCCAGCAGAGCATCTGGTGGATTCGAACCATGCGCCTCTGGGATTGTAGTTGCAGCTCCTTACCACTAGGCCACCAGAGCTCCCCTAGAAATCCCCATTTCTTAATCTGTGGCTTCAATGCTTGATGTGTGTCTTTGAATAATAGTAGCATCAATAATTCTTACTTGTATGTGTGTGAGTGTTATCCTATCACTAACAAACCTTGTACTTCAGGACAGATCTTGAATGGTCTTTTTAAAATTTTTTGTTTTTTGTGTGTATACCGTCGAATCGGATCTGACTGGTATAGGAGGAGATTGTCCCTCCTTCTCCAGCAGAGCATCTGGTGGATTCGAACTGCGTACCTCTGGGATTGCAGTGCAGCTTCTTGCCGCTAGGCCACCAGAGCGCCCTATGAAATGGTCTTTTTTGGTGATGAATGGAACATCATTCCTCTTCAGTGTGTCGTTCCTGGCAGAAGAGATCATAAGTTTGTTTGAGAATAACCAATTCCATTCCGTTTCAGCTAAGCTGTCTTTATATGGTCCGTTTTACTTCAACATCTTCTGGTTTTTCTAGATTCATGTGTTACGTATTCAATGTTCCAGTTATTAGTGTTTGCAATTCTTTCTCCTCATCAGCAAATGAAAGTTTTACTCCATCTGTGTCATTAACGTAGACTCGACTCTAAAGAGAAATCTTCCCGGTTGTGTTTTGAGTGCCTTCCAACCTGAGTGGCTTGGCCTCGCTGCGCTGTATCGACTGCTCCACTGCTCTTCATAGGGTTTTCAGGGGCATGTTATTTCAGAAGCGAATGACCAGTTCATTGCAAATACTTGCTTAGTCGCTTAGTCTGGAAGCTCTGTTGGAACCTATCCACATGGGTGCCCTTGCTGGCGTTTGAAATGCCATTGGCATGATTTCTCACACCACAGCACCATGCAAGTCCCCACAGTTTGTCAAACGGTTGCAGCTTTTGATGAGACCATGCTAGCAAGATGTGTCAAACAGTAATGTGGGGATTCGGTCAGTTTTGCTCTCCTGCCAGGCTTAAATTGAGCTGCCCCAGAGGTGGTAAATTAGCCCTCACACTACCATTAGGAGAGAGGAAACCAAAGAATAACGTGTTCTTTGGACCTGGAATCTCTGTGTGACAACAGAGTCAGGACACAAGAGACAGGGTGAGATGGAGAGATGGTGTGAGGCGGCCTGGCATGAGACGAGGTGGTAATAGTGATGGGAGTGGCAGTGGTGGTAGAGGTGGTGGTGGACACAGACCATTGTGAGACAGAGCTGTGGCCTTTGGCCTCTTGAGGAGAAAGCTGAGAACTTGCTGCAAAACCGGTGCCCTAGGGCACTTCCTAGGAAAGCTAGGTCAGCTGACCTACAGAACTGGAGCCGACTGCCTTCAGGCCTAGGTTTACTGGCCAAATGGGGGTGACACAAAATTGGCAGAGCTGAAAGAGCTTTGTAACACTTGCCTGAACAAGACAGATGTCTGCAAGGCTGAGGACCAGAGGGAGGCCTGCCTTGTGGCACAGCCTCTTAAGAGGCTTTCCTGAGTGAAGGCCTGAATCGCGACTATTTCTGAACCTAAACTATGACCTGTTACTTCCCTAATAAATCCCATAGTCGTGTGTCCGGTGTGGCTATTGTCGTGGAGTCTCAAAGCTGGTAAAGTAGCAGTGAACACCAGGAGAGGGCGGGTTGGTGTGAGAATTGGAATAGGCGTGGTCTGGAGCATGGAGCATGAGGGGCATGGCTGACCACCTAGGAATCGGCTTTGTGTTGTTAAAGCTGTTGATGAGGATTCCTCCCCCTTTGAAAGTTACTGAAAGTCAGATGTTGTCTCCCTCATTTCAACCACACTCTTTTTACAAGGGTGGAGCTTCACAAGTTTAACTATTGTAAAAGAGCCGTTCACTTTTGCTGTAAGTCACTGAACTGTATATAGATTTGAGCAGTCTGTGTTTATAGGGAGCTCTGGTGGCCTATTGAGTAAGGGGTTGTGCCACCAACCCAAGAGCAAGAGGTTCAAATCCACCAGCTGCCTCTGTAGGACAGAGATGGGCAGTTCCTTCCCATGCACCTTCCAGCCTCTGGAAATCCCCTGGAGGGTCAGTTCTGAGTAGCAACGAAAACAACTTGCTTTTCTTTCTGTGAATCCTTATCACATCGCCTGATGAACCACCACAGTTTCTCAGCCCCCCCTCAGTGTTTGAATTTTTTTTAAAGTGATGTGATGGCATTGAAAAATATTAATGTTTTTGGTGGGCTCTGGTGGCCTAGTGGCAAAAAGCTGCACTGCAGTACCAGAGGTGCGTGGTTCAAATCCACCAGATGCTCTGCTGAAGACGGAAGGATAATCTCTTCCTCTACCAGTCAGATCTAATTTGATGGTACACACATTAAAAAATATTAATGTTTTTGCCTTTATTCTGTCTTTATTTAATCTGTTTCAACCAATAAATTCCTGTGTTGGCTCATGTACCAGTTTGTAAGTTTGTTCTAACTTATATTGGAAGTGAACTTAACTTTCGTAGAAGAAAGAGGAAATCAAATGAGCAAGAAGATCCCCCTTTGCTGTTTATGAAGAACAAGGATGACTTAGCTACATATGTTTTGTTTTCTCAACACTTAGACAAGTGAAAACCAAAGCCATGCAGTGACAGCTTGCCCGTATTTCTGGGACATCTCGCTGTGGCTTGTCATCCTGTTGTCCCAAGGTTAGAATCTTTCCAGGTAGCTTGCTCTGTTCTAATGCGAGCTATGGATTGTTCAACAGAAGCTCTAACATACTAACAGTTGACATGAATGGGATAGTGTGTGGACTGTAAGGACAAGAAAGGATGATTTCAGAGGATCACAGCGGGGTACAACTTAACTGATTGATGCAGGGTCAATTCCATCAGTCACCTTTAAAGAGAGAACAACAGTTTGTTTTAATTAGAGCTCAAGAAACAGCATGTAGCTTAAGCGATCAATATTTCCCTCCTCATCTCCAATTATTTTAGAAATTGAAAGTTTGTAGGTGCTGCAGTTTGCCCTGGATGCACACATAACTGAACGCCGTCCTTGGCAAAAAAAAAAAAAAGTGGAGCCTTTATACAAACTAAGGCTGAGGTGCAGATAGAAGGACGTTTAGAACGTGATAGCCTAAGGGAGCTCTGGTGGCCTAGAGGCAAGAAGCTGCCCTGCAGTCCTGAAGGCATGCAGTTCGAATCCGCCAGGTGCTCTGCTGGAGAAGGAGGGACAAATCTCCTCCTGTGCCAGTCGGATCCGACTTGTTGGTACACAACAAGGAAAAAAAACCCAAAACAACAACAAATCACACCAAAAACCCCCCAAACCAGAATATGGCACCTAGCTTACTCCTCAAGCCTCACTGTTATATCATAAGAAATTGGGTCAGAATTCCCCACCAACGTTTGGACCCGATGGTTTTTTGGGGGCCTCCTCTGTGCGCTGTGGGATGTGTAGCTGTATTCCTGGCCTCTGCTGCTTGGATGCTCAGTGACACCCTCTCTCCCCGAAAAGCCCCTGTCATTACCATACAGTCCCTGGAGCAACCACTGCATTTACTAGGAAATTAGGCACCGAAAAAATGTTTGCTAGCCCAGAGGGAATCGGAGTGGGACGACTTCTGGAAAGACCTCGGCTTTGGGTTCCCAGATCCATTCTGTCTTTTGTTTCTTGCCTTCTCCCGCCCCTTTGACTTTTTCTGTTATTATGTTTATAATTCTGTGTTTGATATAATGAACCTTTTGTTACAGTGCAATTAATGAATTTATTCTTCCTTTGATGTAGAGCTTATTTATCACTAGTTCCTATTTTCTTTTTTAAAAACTGCGAAGCTCCTAGTTTCCGCATGGAGCCAGTGACGGCCCTGGGCGTCCTCTCCCTGGTTCTCAACATCATGTGTGCGGCCTTGAACCTCATTCGTGGGATTCACCTCGCAGAACACTCTTTGCAGGTAACCCCTCCTCTTTGTAGTTCTGACTGAAGGGTGTGTGATGGAAGAAACAGATGGGGGATACATTGTATCCCTAAGATTAACATGCACCAGCCTCACTTTATTGCCATTGACTCATAGCTGACCCTCCAGTGGGTTTTCACAAGCTGTTAACTGAATGGGAAGAGACAGCTCATCTTTCTCCCCTGGAGCAGCTGGCGGATTTGAACTGCCTGCCTTTGGATTGGCAGCACAACCCTTTACCCACTAGGACACCAGAGCTCCCTGTTATGCACTAAGGTTATAAAATTTTAAAAATTCAAATAGAATTTTGATTTCATTGAATGTACATAGAAGTAGTTCTTTTGTGCTGTCCTTTGTCCCAAGTAGACAGAGGGGCCAGCTGGGGGGTCGGTGAGGAATGGACAGTGTAATTCAGAGACGTCAGAGCATCGCAGGGCCCTGGGAACACCAGCAACCGCTCTGGGGCTGGACTGCTCACTAGGGCAAAGGTTGATTCTCAGCTTTTAAGGTTCTTTTTAATATCCTAGGAAGAGAGTATCTCTTTATTTGACACAAGTTGTAGATATGTATTTGGATACACTATTGTGTATTTCCAGTACATTATATATTTTGGTCAAATATTCTTGTAGGTCGTATAGCCCTGGTCTGTTCACTTGCCATACAGCGGTAACTTGTGGTCTCTGTGAAGCTGAACACTGTGACACTGATGTGTCAAATGCGGTAACAGTTACCCATGGTGGACAGTGTTTGGTGGAGCTCCCTGGTTAAAATAAGCTTGAAAGCAGAAGTGGTATCCACTTCTGTAAATAGCTTGCCTCCAGAAACCCTATGAACCTGGAGAAAGGATGTTGAAGATGAAAGTGTTGAGGACTTTCATTCACAGGGTTGCTATGAGTCGCCTATGACTCAATGGCACTTAACAACAACATCATTATGTATTTATAATGTAGGTACGAATGGCTTTACTGTGTCTTTGTCAAAGAACTGTATCACTGAGAAGCAACTTTCCATTTCAATTCCTTTTTTTGAACAGTTTATTAAAATTTTGACCTATGTAGACCACTTTTGGAGAGCACAGAACCGTTACAAACATAAACAGATGTCACCTTTAAAGTTAGAGCTGTAATTCTCACACATGTTTGCTGGCTAACATCTGAAGCCAGGCGGATGTGGAGTTTTGGGGGTGAACATCGACTGGATTGTGTGGAGAATGGCCAGTGGCCCGTGTTATGAATGTAGCAGCTGCCATCGCCACGCCGCATCTCTGGCCGATATGTGGTGTGATTTCCACTCTCACCTTTTCAGTTGCTTCCTTCACCGTATTACCTATCAAATGTCCATTTACATCCTCTAGAACAGGTGCTGGGAGCTCTGGTGGCGTGGTCTGCAGGGAGTTGGGCTGCTAACTTGAAGGCAGCCCTTTCTGGCGGTTCAAATCCACCAGCAGCTCCATGGTAGAAGGATGAGCAAGCTCCTCCCGTGTGATTTACGGCCTCGGAAACTCCCTGGAGGGTCAGCTGTGAGCCGATTCCTACGATGGCAGTGAGTGAGTGAGAACAGGTACTTAGCCCGCACGATGGCTAAGACCTCTCGCTGCCTCTGGTTCTTGGGGCACAGAGCGGAGCCTGGAGCAGTGCTAAGGAGTGGGCAGTGCCAGGAGGTGGGTGTGGGGTGGGGAAAGCTCGGTATCGAAAGGTGAGTAAGAGCTAAGCAGTGGTAGGATTGTGGGGTTATTCACGGGACAAGAAAAATCATGATGTGTCCAGACCACGAAACGGTAACATACCAGCCTATGATGTGGCACCTTTATGGGACCCACCTACCTACAAGCTCTGTATTGTCAACCGTAACATATCTGAAGGAGAGGTAAAGTACATGTCAGTGTTTGCGGCCATCTAATTGTCCCTTTCCTGTGTTCCTCGTGCCTGTTTCTAGATCGCCCAGGAGGAAATTGGAAACATCCTTGCTTTCCTTATACCTTTTCTAGCCTGCATTTTCCAGGTAGGTGACACAGTGACCCTCTAGTGAGTTCTGTAGGAGGCAACAGCAGGTTCCTGGATCAGAGTCTTGGTTCACATCACGGGCAGTAGACATCCCTTAGCGGAAGGGCGTTAGGCTGACCCTTTTGAGCCTAGAGAAGGGACTCCTTGGTCCAGTGCCGCAGGGCAACTGGCAGCAGCAGAACAGAAACCAGGAGTTTGGGGTTGCCTCACCAGAGGGACGGGGGGATTGCCGAGGGGATGGGGGTGGACCTATCCAAGTGAGGCAGGGGTTTCTGCCAGATCTGAGCAGGACTGTCAGCAGAGACGACATCTGTGCATCTGTGTTCAAACACAGGACTAGATGACCTGGAAGAGCTTCTGTGTTTGTCAAGTACGACTCAAAGCTGTCCTTAGAAAAGGACCCAAAAATGAGAACATCAGCTAGAGGCTTTAATGATTATTTAGTCATTTTCAAATAAGCTGTGTGTTTAAGGGCAGAATAGGAAGGCTCTTTTGACTCCCCTTTAGGGAGAATTACAGCTTTAATTTTTAATTAAAACCTGACTCTAATTCACTTTCCCCATCATGCACTTGAACTAGAAGGTTCATCTTTTCTCTGCAGACCTAAGTTTGTTGGTTGGTTGGGTTTTGGGGTTTTCATTTTTAAATTGCTATTCTTAGGGCACTTCTGTCCTCTTGCACATACAGTTATTTCTTATTATTTGTGATTGTTACATTGCATGAAGTTGCTACACAGCATTAGTAAACACTGAGCCTTAGATTTCTGTGAGCCTCAGGTCACAGTGTTCTCATCAGGTGATCAAGTCATAATCTTGTTTTGCATATCTGTTTAAACATCCTGTTTAAACGACCCTGGGTGGGATGCACTTGTCTGTTAACCTAAAAGGCTGATGGTTTGAACCCATTTAGTAATGAGAAAGAAAGGCCTGGTGATTTTCCCCTGAAGCTGAAAGTCAAGAAAGCCTCATAGGGCAGTTCTAGTGTGTAGCACCCAAAACTGCCAGAAGTTGAGATTGATTCAGTTGCAACTGGTTTGGTTGGTTTTTTATTTATTATCTATTGTTGATTCATTAACATCGACCTCACAGCCAACAGCACTGGTTCCTGAACAAAGCTTACGTAACCCCCGGGTTTTGTCTGTAAGGTACATCTCAGCCTTCTTGTGTGGAGAACTGTGCCTGGGGCCTATTTTAAGCCATGAAATTACCAATGAAAACCAGAAAATCATGGCACTAAGTGGCCGATGAAAAGGACGCTTGTTTCTGGGATCTGAAATAAGTACACAGAGCGTCTCCTTGTTCAGTTGCAGCTGGGAATGTGCATGGTGGGAGGCTCGCGCGTTTTCTTCTATTCGACGTCTCAGATTGATTGTCACTCTGCTCATGTCCACATGCGACCCCAACACCGACACAAGTATTCCTTTCCAGGGACCCAGATCAATTTGAGTAGGTAAATGTGCAACTATGGACTCCACAAATAATTAGGATCAGCTGTCCATCTTTTGTACAAATTATAATAGTTTATTCATAAGAACTACGTGATTGTGGGAAACAGACATTTTCACCCCAAAGATAGAGAATGCGCCCATTGTTCAGAAAGCAAGACTGGGAAATCTCAGGCGTTGCCAGCGGATACCCCGTGGAGCCTGCCCTGTGGGCCAAGTTTCAGGGCTGCAGGAATCCTGACTGTCCACCTCCAGCCCTTCAGTGGCATTCCTGTCCTGAGAGCACCTTTGTTGGGGACTCTCCTTCCTACTTTAGCCTTGAGCCTTGCCAGATTGCTCGAGCTTTTGAGAATTATACACATTTGTTTGTTTTTCTACATTGAGCCGAAACACTATTTCCCACCTTTTGCAGAACATGAATGACCTCTGTTCTGTGATGGTTAGGTGATTGTGATTCGTAGTGACCTCATATAACAGAGCAGTGATCTTTACAAGAGCAGAACCCAGGCCTTTCTCCCCAGGAGCCACTGGGTGGGTTTAAACCACCAGCCTTCAGGTTAGCAGCCAAGCCCGTAAGCAGTGCCCCAGTGCCCCACACCGGCCCTTTTTCTGACCGCCCTACACAAATGCAAGCTGCTCTTCCCGCTCTGAGACCTTTCCTGGATGCAGAGATGCCTTTGAAGAAGGGAGGAGGAAATGACCTGGGGAACAGATACTAGTGCAGAGGTGTCTCCAGAGAAACCCAAACAGTAGACACTCACTCCCCCACACCGGTGTTCTTGGCCATTTCTCCAGCTTACCGCTCCCTGGAGGAAGCTTCACTGGGAGGCAGGTGACCTTGGCAGCGATCCTGACCCTGCTGGCCACCCCTCCCCTCCTCCTTTCCCCACGCCTGGCCATCTCTCTCTGTATTTGTACCTTTTTCTCTCAGGGGTGCCATGCACCATTCCTCCTGTGATGTCGTCTCACATGCCTTCTCTCCCCCAATCTCCCATCGTCTCTCGTCCAGTGACTGAGCACTTGTCCAGTGGGCCCGGGCAGCCCCTTAATGGCAGCTGTTTAAACAGATGCATTCAGAGAGGAGGCCGGGTGGCTGGTCCGGGCTGCGGGCCGAGTCTCCCAGCCGACCCGCCGGCTCCGTCCCCTGCTCTGACCGCGCCTGTGGTGCTTCCTTTCAGTGTTACCTGTACCTGTTCTACAGCCCAGCCAGGACCGTGAAGGTGGCCGTGCTGCTGCTCTTCATCTGCCTGGGCAACGTGCACCTGCACGGGCTGCGGAACGCCTGGCAGATCCTGTTCCACGTGGGCGTCGCCTCTCTGTCTTCACATCAGATACTGACCAGGCAGCTGCAGGAGAAGCCGTCCGACTACGGAGTGTGAACGCGGCACCACCGCTGGACGTGGCATGAGCGGATCCCTGCAGGTTCTTTCTTTGGGGATCAACCCGTTTCCCTTCTTGCTTCTCAACTTCGCCTCAAGTTTCCATCCTTGACGTTCCTGCTGGCCAGATCAGACTGATGAGCGGAGGACCTGGGCTCGTTTCCCAGGTGCATTTGGAGACGTGAGGAGGACCCTTGATGCCAGCCCAGCCCTGCTTCCAGGCTGAGTCTTCCTGCGGGACCCTGGCTCCGCCTACGACTGAGGACAGCAGGACCTGGAGCCCTGCTGCAAGAGCATCGCGGGAAGATCAGGATGGAATGATTTTGGTCTTTTAGAGACTGATGCAATAAACCACTAGATTCAATTACATTAATTCTGGTAATTGTCCTCCAGGAATCACTTTAAACTTCAGATCAGCTTTCTAGTCAAAATGTGGCTGTTAATATTTTTTTTTAAGAAGGTAAGTACAGGGTGTCTTTATAAATATGACTCATACGTGTAAGCTAGGTAAATTTTGTTTACATTTTTTTGACAACTTAGGTCCAACATGATATCTTTGGAATATTTAAATATATTTTGGATATAAATTAAACTCTTGTCTTCACTTGGACTGGAAACCAACATTAGCCGAGAAAAAGAGAGCTGAGTTTGTTTAATGTATATATAGCCTGCACGTGGCAGGAATGTGCATTAAAAATAGTATAGACGTGTTGGATATTTATTTGCAGGGTAGGTCTGAAATTTCTAAAATTAATTGAAGAACCAGTGCTAATGGGGTCCTAATTATATAAACCTGAGTCAGAGTGAGAGCTTCAGGGTTCCTTGCAATGGGCCACAGCTGGGAGAAGATGAGTGACACAGATTCAGTGGAACCTTCTAGACTTGTGCAGGGAGGCTGATGGCACCAGCCTTTTCAGAAGCAGCCAAGTGCCTGCCATTCCAGTGATGGGATACCTGACCACAGACCCTGTGCACGGGAGACTTCCCAAGTGAGCGATTCCTCAGTACTCAGTCTTCCCCCAAAATCATAATTAGGTCAAGGGGCTTTCATTTCTTAAAAACATTTTAAATTATAGTTTGTGTGTGAACATATTGTATATGTTTTGTTCTCTCTCTCTTTTTTTCTCCTCCCAGTCAGTGTTGCATGTTTTGTTCCATAGCGTTAATTACTATATAGTCACCTCTGGTCATCCATTCAGTCCACATTGTCCTTCATTTTTTGAGCAAGCACTGAGTTCAAGTTAATGAATTATTATTTGTTTTTTAGCTTTATAACATCATTAACCTCGTGCTCTAGAAGGTTATTTTTCTTTCTTCCTTTGTCAAACTATGGATTGATCGTATAACCCTCCAAGAACAGGAATCTGAATCGTATCGCTCAGGTCTCCAGAAACTTCAGCCTCTACTGTCCAGTACTAGGATTTTTTCTTTTTTTTTTTTATCATTATTAAATTTTATTAGTTTCAATGAACATTCACAGGGATTCTGGGCTTTCACTCCTTCATTGCCGCACCATTCTCTCCACCCTCCTCCCCAGTTTGTTCTTCTTCCCCGCCATCCGAGTGTCTGTTCTAATTGTCCAATTGCCACAGTGCTTGTCAAAGTCAGTTCTGATTAATCTCCTTTGTCAGTGTGTCTAGGATTTTTTCTTGATGGGAGTCTGGAATCTGAATGATTCAGTCACTACTGCACGGGATACTTTTGAGTTGAAATATGTGTTTGATAAGGAATACAAAATTGCATATTATAGTTTTTCAAACTTTGAAACCAGTGCAATAGTTAATAATGGGGAGGCGAGGAAGGCATAACTATAGCTCTGCGAATTTTGTCTTGGTTATTAGTGGTGATGTGTTGTTATTGGACTTCCTTGCTATGACTTGAAGGGAAAAACCAAGTGTATGTGACTAGGAACCGTGTTGCCATAGTAATGTTATTTTCTTATAATAGACTTTTCTATTTTTAATCATACATAAAGGATATAGATATGAAAATGATATTGGCAACATCATTAGACTTCAGAGCTCTCTCTCTCTTCATTGATTTTCCATGTGTGTGATATCCTTCAGCAGGTGCATTGGAAATCTTTCTGGGAGGTGATTTTGATGAGATGGTAAATTAGAGTGAGAAGCCCAGGAGACACAAAACCCCTTCTAAGTAGAAGGCACAAAAACACTGACCAATAAAATCAAACCCAGACGAAAAAAGCACTTAAGCAGCTTTCTCAGAGCAGCTCAGAAATGCGTTGCTTTCAAGCCCGTGGGCGCTGGTTTTTACGATGGCTGAGTGGCCCTGGAAGTCCCGGAGCCAGACCCTGGGATCCACCCTCAGCAGACAGTGCAGACCAGCCCCGGAAGGCCAGTCCCTGCTGCTGGCTACTTCCTGCCCACCGAGGGGGCCATAGCCACACGTGGCCCAGCTGTTTTATAAAAGAGAAAATAAGCACGAAATTGGTACAGAATGGTGGTCACATGCACATCGTGTAGCCCAGATCCAGCTGCAGGAACCTCAGCTCCCTGGAGGAAGTAGCTGATGAGAGGTGGTGTTGAAGGCTCAGTCCAAGGCAGTCCCTGGCTCAGCATTGGCCTGGGATAGGTTTGAGGTTTGTGGGCTCCTCCGGGACCCATCGCATTGGAAGGTGGGGTGGCCCTTAACTCCTCCAGGAACTGACTCCCGTTGTCCTGGTCCTCTGCTTCCCCATTAACTGAGTGCTGGCTTCCCAGCTCACCTCACAGGCCGGCCAGGCCTAGATGCGATCAGGCTGGAGGCAAAGCCTTGAAAGTGCCTTCTGGTGTCAGATGCCACAGTGTCACCACATCCAGGCTCTTGGGAACACTTTCCCGAGCAGGAGCCAGAGCCCAGAGGTGTCCCTTCCCCTGGCATCCTCGTGAAGGGGTCATGACGCTGCTCTCCTCCAGGCTGGCCTTACTGTGACAAGGCCGTTCCTAGTGTCTGTCTCCTGGGCAGAGGCTGCCGGAGCACATTCGGGGGTGGTGCTCCTCAGTTCTGGAGCCTCAAGGCCTTACAGAGGTGGAAGGTGGCTGCAGGCAGCCGGTGTCGCCTCTGGGGTGTGCGCCTCTGTTCCCTGTAAACTCTTTCCCCATCCACACTTTAAAGCACACTTTAGGGCTTCTGGAAGAGCCCTCAGCTGAAAGCATTTCATCATCATTCTTCTTAACGTCAAATTCCTCTCTCCTGGGTCTCCTCGGCCTCGCCCCCTTAATTGCCCACACTGTAGTCAGAAGCTGAGCCTGGAGTCTGCATGGGACAGGAGGCTATGAAGCCACTTAGTCGCAGTCGACGGAGCGGATGACCTTGATCCCCAGTGTCCTGTCTGTTGGGTTTGGAGAGAATAACCCTTAGGTGGTCAGCGTGACTCAGACTCGGAAAAGACAGCAGCAAGGCCGGAAGTAGAGGTCAGAGCCGAGCCGAGCCTGGTGTGAGGTGATGGCGCTGCCCCTGGGCCCGGGGGATTGCATGCAGGACCGTTGGCCACGGCTGCTGTTTGCTTTTCCTGGAAGGAGTCAGTTGATCATTGGAACGGGCAGGCAGGTGGCTTTCAGAGACCGTGTTTGCACAGGGTAGTGGAAGTGAGGCCTGGCATGGCTGGGCGTGTTTATGGCAACCACTGACATTACCCCAACAGAGCCCAGCACTGTGTGTGTGAATAAAAGCAGGAGAGAGTGGGCGTGCACAGGAGCTGTGAGGCAGGAAGGTATGCCCAGGTGAGCCGGTGAGAAGAAATAGGCTTGGGTCTTTCAGCCAGTCCTGCCTGACCGTGGTCAGGGTCACTGCCCGTCGGCCTCGGCGTCCTCCTCTGGAAAATGGCAGTAAAACCTGTCTCTCCCTGGCAGGATCAGAAGAGGTGTAGCACGGGGCGTGCTGGGCACAGGAGGAGAAAGCTTTGCCTTCACTGGTGTACGGAGGTTTCTCTTCCTGCATTAGGCCGCACACTGTGTCGTGTGACCTTTTCAGGCATTTCATGATGTTGAAAACCTGGTGTCAGTTGACCAGAAGCTTGGCCATGTGAGCCCACTAGCTGTTGTGCAGGAGAAAAATGAGGCATGGTTTCTGGAAGGATCTACAACCTTAGAAACCCCCCAGGGCAGTTCAGCCTGCCCTCTGGGGTCACGATGAGTTGGCATTGACTCAGTGCAGTGCGTTTGGATTTTGATGTTGAATTCCATGAAGTTGACTGTGGCTCCTCGTGGGACAGAGTCCATTTGCCCCATAAGGTCATCTTGGCTGTAATTTCTATGGAAGTAAGATTGTCATATAGCGTAGTAACTGGCCTTCTTTTGCCTCAAAAGTAAGGGCCTCTCTTTTCTCCAGACCGGCCTCTTGCCATCCAGGTACAAAGCCTGGCAGTCGGCCTGTACCCGGCTCCACAGACCTGGATCAGCTGATAGAACCAAACATCTAGGTCCTTCTCAGATTGGAATGAGGAGAGCGCTTATTACCCGCCTGAGAGTGATGATGTCAGATGTCTGTTGCTGGAAAAAGCTCGTTGGCAAAGAACCTCTGGTGAATGTCTAAAATCTGGGACAGGACAGATGTGGGCTTATCTGTCTATTGACGGCCGAGCTGTTGCCCACAGCAGCTTTTTATTTAGGGTGAAATGATCAATCCATCCCGTGCCCCTAACTTGTGCTTGGCACAAAGGACTTTCCTTAAACCCATATATATCTCTTTAGAAATATTATTCAGAAAAGAATGCAGGTGACTTGATTCCCAGAGTTCTCTTTTGTCCAGTGGACTTTTCTACTCTGAGCAAAAAAGATTGATGCCGATTTAACCAGTGTAAAACTTTTACTTCATGCCACGTCCTCATTTTGAAGGAACGCCTACTGTGTATGTCCTGCACACTTGTTATTTTTATCGTGTAATAATAGCAAAGATCTATTTTGAGGAAACGGTGGGCACATTTTAATAAACTTTCACACAGTAGTCAAACCTCAACATGTGTCCAATGTATGTAAAAGAATGTTGTGTGGCCATTTATA